AAGTTATAATTTTCTGACAGTATTTTGAAGGTGTAGTTCAATATTTTTTCATTTGTATTATTTCCCTCCCTCCCTTTCACCACCCATTCCTCTGTCCGTATCCTTTTATGTACTATAAGGCTGTCAGATTTTTAATATTGATTCTTTTTCTAGCTCACTGAATGGCCTACCTGAATTTTTTCTAAGTGAAGCTATACAAAGTTTTACTTCTCGTCTTCAGGAAGAATTGAATACTACTGATTTATACTCTTATAGGAAAGTTATTGACAATCTATCTTCCTGTATGGAGAACTTTGACTTAGGTAAGCCAGCTCTTTTCTAGTATTTTTTCTGACTCACACCTGTCATTACATCATTGTGTTAAATGATGTTTGGTCTTGATGCTCCTTACCCCACAGTGTTTTTTCCCCCCCACAGGTAGAACAAGTGTTAATAATCTTCTTGAAAATGGTAAGTGCTATTATTTTACTTTATTCTGAGAGGTGTCTGCTTGTATATATCATTTTGGAACTGGTTCTTTTAAGTTTCTTGGCAATGAGTAGAGTACTACAGATGACTAAGGTACATACATCATACTCCTTTCTTTTGCATTTCTACTTCTATACTATGATATCATTTTAGGTAGCAGTGATTTAAAATATTTTCTTGGGCTGAAGTTAAAGTTCACGGTTTAAAATTTTTCATTATATTCTTTTTATTTCAGTGCTTCATTTTCTGCAGAAGAGTTTAATTGAAATCTCAGAAGAAAATAGGCAAGTGTTGTGTTTCCATGCTTGTGTATGTGTGTGTGCACATTTGCAGTTGTGCATTGTCTTTATACAAAGGAAATTTTTAAAAGGTTCCAGAATGTGCTCCTTTCCATCCCTCTCCATTAACATTAGACCTAATTATTTAAATTTATTTTTTAGAGGTTTGATATTTAATTTTAAAAAATCAAATAAATTATGAGAATAAATGAGAAAGGGAAGAGCTCTTTCCTCCACCTGAGTGTTCCTTTTTCATAGCATCCTGTTCTTATTTCACAGATGAAGTATCCTCTCTTATCTCTTTGAGGATATTAATGACAGTGTTTTTTGTTTGTTTTAAGTTTTCCTATCTTTACATGATCTCTATTTCTTCCAAGCTTTTTTTTCTGTTTGCTGCCTTTGTCCACTCTATTTGTTGCTAGAAACTTTCCTCAGACATTGTGATCCTTGGCTGAGCACTCATTTAAGAATGGGGCACCAAGAGTTTATTTGAATCTCTATGCATATGGGAGGGGTTGATTATAAGTTTTATTGTAGGCTAGTCTAGCTGGGCTTTTTCATATGGGAACCCTTGAGGTCTTTTTCCAGTGGTAGCAGATTTGCCATGGAAGAATCTTTCAAACCATTGGCTTAATCTGGTTGCTGAGTGAAGGAAGAAGGCTGAAATCTTGGCATTTGGCATTCATTGTACATCTATTTACCTCATTCTCCTGTTTGCAGTATGATACTGTTGCCATGTCTGTGCTGTCTTTCTGTTCTGACATCTGCTGTTTTAGCTTCTCTAGAGGTAAACCAGTTGTTTGCTGGCTTAGAGGTATGATCCAGAGTTCTTATTCTTCTTCGGCAGACTTGTAGCCAGTCTTCCTGATTTCATCCCTACATTTACCACCACATCAAGGAGTACCTGGTGCCAAAAATTTCTTAGCCTTTCGGGGCTGCAAATCAGATTGCTCTGGGCTTGTTCTCTGGCTTAGTACTCACCTTTCCTGATTTTGCCAAGTTAGTTTATCACTCATCTATCTGCTTATAAAATGTTATTGTTGTCTTATTGTCTGTTTATCATTTGTGTCTTTTTATGTTTTAAATCCCTTGGCTGTTGGTTTAGGGAGGTTCTGGGGGAGAATAGAAGTATATCTGTGTGCCGTCTTTAACCCAAGATCTCTTTCTGCCTTACCTGGAACTCCTTCTCTGTCTCCTCTTACGCTCTTCTTCCTCTGCTCTCCTCTTAAGTGTGAGTTCTGTCCTTTTCATTCTGTTTGTTCTCAGTGCTTAATATCATCTACTTCTTTGTGTCAGCTACCATCTATGTACTTAGGATTCCCAGATTTATCACTCCTAATTAGATCTCTACCCTGGTGGTAGACTCATATAGTGGTTGCCTCCTGGGCATCCTGGATGTTTTACAGGTGCCTCAAATTCAATGTGTCCAAAAGAACATTCACTGTCTTTTTATCTCTTCCCACAACCCTGGTAACTTCTATTCCACTTTCTGTCTCTTTGAATTTGCATTTTCTAGATACCTCAGATAAGTGGAATTCAGTATTTGTCCTTTTGTGTCTGGCTTATGTTACTTACAGTGTTATAAAGGTTAACCTGTATTGTTGGATGTATCAGAATTTCAGGCCTGTTTTAATGGCAGAATGATACTCCATTGTAGTATAAGCCACATTTTGTTTATCCATTCATCTGTTGATGGACATGTAGGCTGTTTCTACCTTTTCGTGAATGTGAATAATACTGCTATAAACACTGGCGTACAAGTATCTGTTTGAGTCTCTACTTTTAGTTCTTTGGGGCATATACTTAGGAGCAGAATTACTGTATCATGTAGTAATTCTATGTTTAACTTTTTGAGGAACCCCAAACTGTTTTCCCTGACTGTTGTTTTAATATCATTACTCTTGTGTTCTGCTATGTTGATAATTGAGAGGAACAAGGATAGAAGCTGGAAGACCAGTTAGGAGGCTTTTGAAGTAATAGTAACATAAAGGAGGGATGAGAGTGGCTCAGGCTGGGAGTAGCAGTGGAGGTGTTTTGATTCTAGATAGATTTTGGAGGTAGAACCAATAGGATTTTCTTACAGATGGGATGGTGGGGAGAGGAATCAAGGATGGTTACAAAGTTTTTGTAGGCTAGAGATCCTAGCAGGTGGAGCTGGTTTGGAGTTGTGGATAAGGTCACATTGTTTGAGATGTCTTTTCGACATCCAAGTGAAGATATTGAATAGGAAGTTGCATATACAAATCTGGAATTAGAAAGAGAGGTCGGGCTAGAGATGAAAATTGAAGGATTGTCAGCGTAGAGATTATAATTTAAAATTTATGAGCTAGATGAGCTCAGCACCACGGGACTGAATTAGATGGACAGAAGAAGGGGACTAAAGGCTGAGTTGTGGCGACCTCTGATAGAAAGAGGTCTGGGCGAAGAGGATGAACTAGCCAAGGCGCCTGAGAAGGAGCGGCAACGGTGGAGCAGGAGAAAACCTAGGAGAACCTGGCATCTTGGGAGCCAGGTGAAGAAAGTATCCAGGATAGGGAGTGTTCAGATTAATAAATTGTGTCATTTTTTTCTTGATTTGTTATGTTTACTTTAAAAAGAAGTGAGGCTGAGAAAAAGGGAAATTTGAGGTAAGTTAAGAGTGTTGAAAGTTTGCAATAAATGTCTACATAACTGGAATGTTTATGGGAATGGACCTAAGAGGCATAAATATTGATTATAATCTAAAGCTAATTTTGGCCTTTTGATTGAGGAGTATGTTTTATTTTGGAGAGAAATAGAAATGGTGACATTTTTGTTTGAGTTTTCTTTTGTAATAATATGTTTTCTTCATTGTAGAAAATTGGCTGGAAATCACATTGTTCAAACGCAATTGATGAATGACTTGTTGGTAGGCATTAGAGTTTCTGTGATGTTGGTACAGAAAATACCAGGTTTCCAGAGGAGTCGATTGAAGAGTTCTCCCACATGGCAAAGTATGTGTGAATTGCTGAGTATTTTTACCAAGTTTTTAACTGATGGTAAGTGTAAAAACATAAAAATGATGATTATAATTGTCAATCAGTTTTTGATACTAATGGTATGAAATATTTGATAATTAAAAGTGAGATGTAAAACTTCCCCTCCCCTAGCCCTTTAAAGTGGAGAAAGTTCCTGGATTACAAGGTTTTCATGCTTTATCTTTCAAATAACACCAATTCATCGAGGGATAATGTTGGAGGATTTTTCTAAATATATCTGTGCATGTGTTCATGTATATGTTGTATACAAAGAAGAAAACCTAACAATCTTAGTGTTGAAAAGCCACAGACTTTATAAAACAAAAGAAAATTCTTGAAAAACTTCCACATTTGGCAGGAAGATCTGGAAAGTTTAGTGTAATCCATGCATATCTCCTTAGCAGCAAGTATTACATTCAGATAATGACAGTCATTGTGGGGCTGGTCATTATTTCTCCTTATGTCTCATGTCACTTCTGTCCTTATGAACTGTACCACTGGGAAACCAAGTAGTTACTGAGAAGAGTGTCTTTATAAAAGTATTTCAACTTAGAAGTTAAAACGAAGTGATAGAATCAGGGATCACCATTTTGTAAGTCCCAGTGATTTGAGGTGGGCATTAAGCATCAATGACTGCTGACATTACAGAGACAGACAGGCAGGCAACGTGTACCACTTAAAGTCTTGCTTTTACCACCTAGAGTCTTCCTTAGGGATTGAACCTGAGACTGATCCATCTGTAGGTCACCTGCCAATTTGCAGGAATCACAGAGGACAGAAGAACTTGTTGAACTGCACTAGGAGTAAACAAACATCCAGATTGTGGGAAACTACAGGTTAAAAGGCCAGAGTTCTTCAACAAAAATTATAATAAAAAGAAAGAGACAGGGAGGGCACCTGTAGATTAAAAGACATATCAATTTAAAAAAAATGGACAAGAC